GCCAGAGCAGAAGCTGTTCTTTCTTCCTAGAGGGCAGAGCCAGAAGGAAGGCTGCTGCCGGAAGAAACCCTCATCCTGAGGGAATAGGGCTGCCAAATCCCCCCGGGGGGCGGATTTCCCCCCACTTTGGAGGCCCGATTTCTGCCACCGTGGAATCGGGCCCCGGGGGAAAACCCACCCCCGCATGCACGTCACAGGGAAGTGACGTCATGACGCCGGGCACGCTGGGGGCGGGGCACAGCCATTTGAGGGGAAAACATAGAGTTTTCCCCTCAAACCCAAAGTCCCCCGCCGGCAGGTAAGTCCGGACTTGGCAACCCTATGAAAGGGTGAGTAGTCTAGTGCCACTTGGGATAGTGAGCTAGGTACAGTATATATTCAGACGCGTTAGGGCATTTGATTGCTTTTCTTTTCACCCACTTACTGTTGTTTGACCTCCTATAAAATAAACCTTTTCCTTGTTTCACTCTGCCTGGTCCTCACGCCTATCATTCGGCCAAAAGGGAGGTCTGAAGGTCTTGGGAGGGTACTCCGGGCCTTCTCAAGGGAACCTAAATCCAGAGTGGTGGCAGCGTCAGGTGACACCCCACCTGAGCCGTGACAATCTCCAACAGAGGGAAAGCATTTAAAAGGAATCCTTTAAACAAGGAATGCTTAAATGTGACGGCCAGAACTCCCTTCCTGGCAAACCTAGCGACATCACAAAAGTGATGTCACATCCTTGCTCCGGGCCCCACCCCCCAAAGTCTCTTGGCTCCACCCCCAAAGTCCCCAGATATCTCCTGAGTCGGACCTGGCAACCCTAGGCTCCCCTCCCAGATCTCCAGGACTTTCCCAACCTTGATCTTGCAACCTCACCCCCCATTCCCGGCCGGTAGCCACGGACGACCAGGCAACTGCTACCTCACAGGAAACGGTTAATGAGAAAACCAGAGTAGGATGCAGAGAGAGTAATCTGGAAAGGGGTGGCGGGCCCGTAAACACGCTGTACCCTGTAGCACAATTACAGACTTCCTCTGTGGGAACATGACCATTGTTCAAGTTCGGGGGTTGCAGTCCCGTCGCTACTGCTCAGGAGAACCGGAAAAACGGCAATTGAAACCTGTGCGTCAGAACAAAGACTCATCTGTTCCCAAAGAGGAAAGGGAACGGGGTCATCTGGGTAGGATGGAGGTGGGCATCTTGACACAAGGGGGGGAGAATCTATGATTTTATCGATCGGCTCTTAAAGGCAAACCTTTTGAAAGGGAAGGAAAGAGGGCAAGATGGCGAGCGATTTAAGCACGAGCATATACAGATTTTTGTCTTCCATGTCAGTGAAGGGTTGTGGTACTTCTTCAGGGGTGTTTCCCACGTAGGCAAATCCTCCTATTCAATATTTTCCTGCAGGGTACGACCGGTGTTCCCTCTAAGCAGAGTTAGTGTGAGCCAGCTGGCAGTTTTTTAGCCTCCGACTCACACACTTTTTGTCTTAGCTCAGGAAGGAGGGCTCCAGAGCAATGCTCCCTCTAAGCTGTAGAGTTTTGTGAGCAAAAATTCTACTTTGTGAGCTACTGGCATTAAAGTTGTGAGCGAGCGATTGGGCTGCTGCATCAGTTAGTTTGCTCTGGAGCCCTCCTGCCTGAGCCGAGACAAAAATGTGTGAGCCGGAGGCTAAAAAACTGCGCGCTAGCTCACACTAAGTCAGCTTAGAGGGAACACTGCAGTCCAGAGCGAACTAATTGACGCGGCAGCCAAACCGCTCGCTCACAACTTTAATGCCAGGAGCTCACCAAGGAGAATTCTTGCTCACAAGACTCCACAGCTTACAGGGAGCGTTGGATATGACTGCCTTCTATCCTTCCTAATCCCCAGCCCATCATTAGTAACAGAAAACCAGCCAGGGAGGCAGTGGGGTCACTGGATGACCCAGGGGTAAAAGCATATTAAAAAAAATGGTTTACAAAATTATACATGGGATAGAGAAGGCAGAGGAAGAAGAAGAGGAGGAGGAGGAGGAGGAGGAGGAGGA